ATTCATCTTCCAATTATCCTTCTTTATCAGCACCTGGTCCACCACAATCTTCATCTGTTGCTGGTTCTCAATCACCATCTTTTCACCAGCATAATTCTCAATCGGAAAACTGGTTCGGAAGGTAATGGATGAAGAGACATTATCTTCCTTTCCTTCACCTTCACTCTCTTCAACTCTACCATCTATACCATCTACTTCATCTAATACTATAATTGAACCAATCAATTTACCATCTCTACCATTAACAATCTCATCAACTCTTCAATCATCTTCATCTTCTGATCTTCTCCCTTCATCGCAATTTACTTCTAATTTATCTATTTCTCAACCAACACCTCATTCTTCTCAATCTACTGGATTTATTACTCCACCTCATTATTTTAATTCATCTGATCATTATCCTCATGATTGTTATTTAACTGCTGAGGCTAAAATTAATGATATTCCTGGTATCGTTTTACTTGATACTGGTTCTGGTGTTACGATTATTAGCTCTAATCATTGGAAAATCATTGGTACACCTGATCCTATTCGGCCTTATAATGGACCTGAAATTCAAGGACCTGATGGAAGTTCAATCGGTCCTGAAGGTCAAGTTATTGTTCACATTACTATGGCTGGTGCTACTACTCAACATCCTGCTATTCTTGCCAAGCATTTTCATCATCTTATCTTACTCGGTAATGATTATATGAAATCAATTGGTCTAGTTTTAGATCTTCAAGCAAACAAAATGTGGCTTCGTCAACATCCTGAGCGATCTTATTCTATTTCATCTGATCTTACTCAAGCTGGTCGCATCGATGTACCTGTTATTTCTACTGAACGACGTATTATTGCTCCATATCATATTGCTTATATTCAAGTAAACGTTCCATCTTCTCTTTTATCTCACAGCTGGGATGCTTCTATTACTGGTCACCGTTCGAACATCGCTACTGCTAATAGTTTAATTCGTTTTACTGATCGTAAATCTTTCGTACAAATTGCCAATTGTACTGCTCGTCAACAACAGGTAAATTCTGGTGAATATGTTGCCTTAGCTGATCTTTATCTTGGTGGATTTGATTCAACATCGGATGTTTATCCAATATCATCTTCACCATCTAATTCATCTTTATTATCATCATGGGAATCACCGACGCCCATATCAAAAGAAGGATTTTACTTTAATTCATCATCTACTGATTATGCATCACCAACTACCGATACTGATCAACAACAACACGACTCTTCTACTTCTCAATCTCATTTACATTCTTCACTTCCACCACAAACTCATACTCTTTTTAATACTCAGCAACCTTTTATAATAAATACTTCTCTCACATCTACATCTTCACATAAATTTTCATCATCATCTTCAAATATTCATTTACCAACTGCTACTATTCGTGATACATCATCTTTATCAAATATTGATTTTCTTCAATCCTTTAATGTTACTGATACTGATCTTAATGAAAATGAACTTATTCAACTTAAAAATCTTCTTATTACTTATCGTACTTGTTTTAATGATAAACCTGGTCGTACCTCTGTAACTCAACATCACATTGATACCGGTACCACCAAACCAATTAAATTACGACCTTATCGCGTTTCACCACAACGCCAACAAATTATCTCTCAACACATTAATCAAATGTTAACTGATGATATTATTGAACTAGCTAATGGTCCATATGCTGCTCCTGTTACTTTACAACCAAAAAAGGACGGTTCCTTACGTTTTTGTGTTGATTTTCGTCAACTCAATTCTGTTACTGTTCGTGACGTCTATCCGATTCCTCGAATCGATGATACTCTCGATCAGCTGCAAGCTGCCAAATATTTTACATCTTTGGATTTAAAATCCGGTTTTTGGCAGATTGAGTTGGATGATGAAAGTCGTCCAAAAACAGCATTTATTACGCATGCTGGACTTTTTCAGTTCAAAGTCATGCCATTTGGTCTTACCAATGCTCCTGCAACGTTTCAACATCTCATGGATTTAATACTTGGTGGGCTCAAATGGTCTTGTGCCTTAGTCTATCTCGATGATATCATCGTTTACTCTCCAACATTTCAATTACATCTCAAACATTTAGAGTCTGTACTCCAACATATTCAAGCAAGTGGTCTTATTCTTCATATTTCTAAATGTCAATTTTGTAAAATCAAAATTAAATACCTCGGTCACGTAGTTTCACAATCTGGTATTGAACCTGATCCTGATAAAATCCATGCTGTACGTGATTATCCTGTTCCAACTCGCCTCAAGGAAGTTCGTACATTTCTCGGTCTTACCAGTTATTACCGTCGATTCATAAAAAATGATGCCACTATTGCTGAACCACTTACTTCTCTTACTCGAAATGCTGACAATAAATCCTTTATTTGGACACCATCGTGTCAACAAGCATTTCTTCATCTTCGTCAATTACTTATTGAAGTACCTGTTATTTCTTATCCTCATTTTAATCAACCATTTATTTTACAAGTTGATGCATCAGATGTCGGTTTATCTGCTATATTAGCTCAAAAACTTCCTGATGCAGATGGTGTTCAACGTGAACATGTCGTCGGTTATGCAAGTCGCACCTTATCGCCGATTGAACGTCGTTATTCACCTACTGAACGTGAATGTTTAGCAATAGTTTATGGTTGTTCTCATTTTCGACCATATCTTGAAGGTGTTCATTTTACTATTCTGACCGACCATAAGGCCCTTAAATGGTTACATCGTACTAAAGATCTGAATAGTCGACTTGCACGTTGGGCTATGCAAATTGCTGCTTATGATGTCGATATACAACATCGTTCAGGTACTGATAATGCCAATTGTGATGCTCTTTCTCGAGCTCTTGTTGATGAATTATCTTCTTTCACCAACGAACCAACTACTCAAGATGTTAATCCAATTAATATTCTTCATGATCCCGGTCGTGAACTTCTTCTCGATTATTTCCACCATTCTTCATTATCTCCACCTCAACTCATTATACCTATTTCACTTAATAACAATACCAACATCATTGATCAATCATCACATTTCACACTTCCTTTTTCTCCGACTCTTTTAGCTAATCTTCACTTCGCTACCAAAACTCAATTATATGAAGACATACGTGATGCTCAATGGCAAGATCCTGAACTTTTACCACTTCTCAATTATCTTCAACATCAACAACTTCCTGAAGATAATACTTCATCTAAAATTCTTGCTCTTGCTTCTTCTCATCGCGTCGTTGATGGAGCTTTATATCGTATTCTCCGACCCTCGTCAACATTCACTGATATATCATCATCTATTATCGATTTTTCTACTCATCTATTTCTTCATCCGCAACAACAACTTCGCCTCATTGTACCTAAATCGAAGATTCGTGAACTTTTATCACTTGCTCATGATCATCCAACTGCTGCCCATCTCGGTCGACGTAAAACTCTTTTTCGTTTATCATCTCGTTTTATTTGGCCTCATATGCGACGTGACGTAATAGCTTACGTTCGTTCTTGTATGCTTTGCCAACAATATAAACCATCCAATCAACCTTCTGGTGGTTTAATGAAACCTATTGTTATACACGAACCATGGAACACAGTTGGGATCGACCTTACTGGACCTTTACCTAAAACTCGTCGTGGTAATAGTTATATACTTGTCGTTATCGATTACTTTACCAAGTGGGTTGAATTATTTCCACTCGCTAATACTAAAGCTAAGACCATTGCTCAACTATTTCTCGATGAAGTCATATGTCGTTTTGGTTTTCCTGTTCGAATTATCTCCGACAATGGTGTTCAATTTTTATCATCTATCTTTACTAATGTTTGTCAAACTTTGGGTATTAAACATCAACGTACTCCACTTTATCATCCACAAAGTAATTTATGTGAACGTGTTAATCGAACACTTAAACCATTACTTGCTGCGCTTGCTCATCATGATACTAAATCATGGGATCTCAAACTTGCTCAAATTGCATTTGCCTTACGAACTGCACCAAGTGATTCAACTGAACAATCACCTGCTTTTCTTATGTTTGGTCGTCATCCTCGTCAACCACTCGATCTTTGTTTACCTTCACCAACAACTATGGAAACACCTCCGACTACTGACGATCTTTCTAACTATCGTAAACGTTTATTAGCTGACTTATTGCCAGCTTATGCCAATACACGTGAGCTTCTTGATATATCTCATCAACGACAAACTCAGCAATATAATAAACATCATCGTGATCTTCATTTTGAACCTGGTGATTTAGTTTGGGTTACTGCACTTTCAGGTGTAGCAATGGGTAAATGGCGTGGTAAGAAACTTAGTCCACGACGAGAAGGTCCTTATCGTGTTGTTCAACGTCTTTCATCATTAACTTATTCACTTGAACACACACTTACTGGTCAACAACTTACTCCTATTCATGTTAATCGACTTGAACGTTATTATTCTTACAATACCATCGATTAAACAAAAAAATATTTCTATTATTTCAATTACTTATACCTAAAACAAAAAAAAAGAACAAGAACAAACAAAAACAAAAGAAGAAAAAAAAACTTCATCAATCTTCTCTCTTCTCTCTAATGACTCATTATTTGATTCATTTTCATTCGTCTTTATTATATAACGCATTAACTATTCTGTGATATATATATCACTAATGAATGCTTTTCTCATGTGTTAGCGTTGACAACGACTCTTTTTCTGCCTCTTTTGTTCTTATATCTTCTTATTGTTTCAATCTTCAACACTTCTACTAGTTCAATTCGCACTCATCATGCAATTCCTCAATTTAGTTGCAACAACTCTTTTATCATTCTTCATCATCTAATATTTTATTGCACAATTCTGAACACATCTCCGAAACAACGATAACAATATAATAAACACAAATCAAAACATTTTCTTTCTTTCATCATATTTATTCATGTATCCTCATTTCTCTTTTTCATTCAATTTCTTTTTTTTTCTTTTCGGCCCGGAGGTCCGACTTCTTTTGGGTTGGTGAGCCCTGTAACAGCACTAGCCGTCACCTATGTTCTCTCTCTCTCTCTTCCTTCTATTGTCTTTCATTGATGATTCTCTTTTCTTTATTTTGTCTCCTTTGTCGCGCTTTTTCTCTTTCTTCTGATATATTATTATTCATTATTCGTTTTCTTAGTTAGTAGCTTCACTACTACTCATCTTCTCATCTTTCAACACACATAGCTTCTTCATTGATCTTTATCTCATTGATTCATTTTCTATCATATACATCTTCTCTTCAACATTCAGTTTCGTCTTGCCTGCTACCTTTCAGTCAACCGTTTATTGATCTATCTACATTGTTCTTTGTTTTCTGTTTTTCTTCTCTCGTCAATTATCATCTTTCTTCTCGTCCATCATTTAATAAAATATATTTGGTGAAGCTTCATCAAGTGCCAAACCTACTGTGGCACCTGGGATTGCGGCTTGTTGTTGCTTCACAAGTGGTTCCGACGCCGGGTACGACTTGAGTTCCGTCTCTTGTCAACCCGTCAATTTTACACTTTCAACTTCTCGACCTGAACGTCACTCAACTTATTTTGGTGTTTCTGATAATCTTCCTTCAACCTCATCACCACCATCCACATTTCTAATACCATCAACTGCGATGTCATCCTCACGACATCTTCATTTTACTCCATTGGATATACCTACTCCATTACCTAATCCACCAACAACAACTGATCATCAAACTTTATATCCATCACTTACATCTTACGATACTGATCTTTTAATGGCACAAGTCACTTCACCTGCTCATTCTTCACCCCTCCAACATTCAGAACAACTTCGTCTATTTTCATCTTTTCAGACCGCCATGGACAATATGCAACAACAAATACAATCACTTTCTGCTCAACTTGCTCATTTGACCTCTTCACGTTTACCTGCTATTCGATCTGCACCCGTCAATATTGATTCACGTCCATCTTCATCTCATTCAATTCGAGTTGATCAGCCTGTCGATCCATTATCTGAACATTTTCTTCTTGTTGAAGCTGAATATCATCGTCTTCAACGTGAAATAGTTCAACGTTTTCAACTCAACAACAACAATGTTCCAATCTCACATGTTACCAATTCATTACCTTCAGCATCAAATATTTTACCATCTACAGCTATTCCACCATCTTCATCACCATGTTATGCAACATATTCATCAATCAATCCTCAATCATTATCTCGATGTCCATCTTCATCAGCATTTCAACCTATTACCAAATTATTATCTCCAGCTTTACCCGTCGTTCCAGTACCTGTGATCGCTCAACCACATTCTTTACCATCATCAGTCGTTAATAACAATTCTGTTTCCATTCCTCCAGCAATACCCTCAGCTGTTCCATCTAAATCGCTTGTACATGTTCCACCAATTATTCCGTCTTCAGCACCAACTATTATCAATTCTAACGATATTATTCCACCACCTACAAAACCTTCATTACCATCATCTATTACTACTCCACCTCATTCAACATTACCTCCTCCTTTTACAATGACTATCAACAATAATCTTCCAACATTTAAAGGTCTTGCTCATGAAAAACCTATTCAATTTATTAATGATTTTGAAATTCGTGCGTCTGCTCTCGTCGGTGATAATGATTCTCTTTTGCTTCAAACTGTTCGTCAAGTACTATCTGACGGTGCTCTTACTTGGTTCGGTCAATTACAAACAAGTCAAGATCGTATTACTACTTGGACCGACTTCAAAACTCGTTTTTATGACCGTTATCATACATCTTCTCAAATACAACATCTACGTATTGAACTCCGTCTACTTTTTCAAGGTGATAATGAACGTACATTAGATTATTTTGAACGTCTTAAAACATTAATGATTGAAATTGATCCTGAATGTAGTGATAATTGGCTTAAACATAAATTTATTCAAAAACTTCGATCTGATATTCGTTCTCGGCTCGATGTTGACATTAATTTACCCGTTCGTGATCTTGTTCGTAAAGCACAAAACATCGAAACAAACATTGAACAACAAAAAATTGATGAGAAACTCAAATTAGCTGCTCATCAAGAAAAGAAAAATATGCCAAGTGTTACTACTAATAACTTATCCATCAACAACAATGGTCGTCGACCCTCATTACATTTATCATCTACTTATTCATCATCACCTAGTAGTAATAATGATTACGTCAATCGTAATATTTCTATCCATCCTGGTGATCAATTACATTCATCATCCAATACTTCCACCATTCTTTCTCATCATTTTAATAATCAAAATAATTTTAATTATTCTTCTAACAATTCGAATAACTACTCTCGCAACAACAATCAATATAATCGTTCTTCTCGTGATCAGAACTTTCTTGTTTCACCTCAACATGAAGATATCAATTACAATAGTTTAAACAATAATATGCGTCGTAATTATTCTCATTCGAACAATATGAATAACCAACGTTATTCTCCAACTAATCATACACGACCAATTTCCAATCTTAATACTACTTCCAATACTCAATCTCGACAACATCAATTATCATCTATCATCTCAAGAAACAACAATCGTTCTTCAAATGATAACAAGATTCGTTGGTGGTGTCCTCATTGCCAACGGCATGGACATTCTTGGGAGCGTTGCCCATCCAATCCTAATAGTATTAATTATCGACGAAATTCATCTTCCAATTATCCTTCTTTATCAGCACCTGGTCCACCACAATCTTCATCTGTTGCTGGTTCTCAATCACCATCTTTTCACCAGCATAATTCTCATTCTGAAAACTGGTCCGGAAGGTAATGGATGAAGAGACATTATCTTCCTTTCCTTCACCTTCACTCTCTTCAACTCTACCACCTATACCATCTGCTTCATCTAATACTATAATTGAACCAATCAATTTACCACCTCTACCATTAACAATCTCATCAACTCTTCAATCATCTTCATCTTCTGATCTTCTTCCTTCATCGCAACCTACTTCTAATTTATCTATTTCTCAACCAACACCTCATTCTTCTCGATCTACTGGATTTATTACTCCACCTCATTATTTTAATTCATCTGATCATTATCCTCATGATTGTTATTTAACTGCTGAGGCTAAAATTAATGATATTCCTGGTATTGTTTCACTTGATACTGGTTCTGGTGTTACGATTATTAGTTCTAATCATTGGTACACCTGATCCTATTCGGCCTTATAATGGACCTGAAATTCAAGGACCTGATGGAAGTTCAATC